ATGTAAAGTGAACGAACAAGTCCCTCTACAACAACAACCCCAAGATATCCTAGGGTCGTTGCTGGAGAATGTGATTAATCAAGACGCTCCAGTTAATAACGACCCTCTCATCAAGCGGACGCTCGACATAGAGTCCTTCTCCATTCAGCCCCTCTCAAAAAAAAAAAAAATTGATGACAGGGACGGTCTAGGAAATAACGGTAACGACAGTCATGCTAACAGCAACGAGGATGATATAGAAAAAAATGCAGAAAACAGAGCTGGTAATAGATACAGCAACGGAAGACCTAGATATAAGATGTGGTGAGGATGAGGAGGAGGAGAATACTGCTGCTGCTCCTGGTTGGGATAAAGATAGCAGCTACAGTAATAATTATAATAATATTGGTGATAATACTGATAATGATAATAATAATTCAATTGATGATGATAATGATGATGATGATGATGATGATGATGATGATGATGATGATGATGATGAGGAGGAGGAGGAGGAGGAAGAGGATGAAAAAGGAGATGGCGGTGACGACGATAATAACGAGGAATCCTCAGGCGTTAGTATTCGGTTTCAGCCCCCGATCGTGTCGGATAATTTTCTCGATTATCTTAAAATCCCCATCACAGTAGGGTGGAATAATACGGCCGAAATACCAAAGGCAATAGACCTACACGAACAGCGAAGACAATACGCCGAAAAAATGAACGTGGACATCTTTTCCGCCTGCCCGAGACACCTAAATTATCATTATCCGAATTGCTTTTGCGATAGACAATCGGGTAAAAATGTGTTTGTTTCAGACGATGATGTGAATTATTGGTCGGATGATAGCAGAAGGTATAACATCTTCAGGTTTTTTACCAAGAACACGGTATTTGACAGCTTTATAAAAGACGGTGATCTAGTCGACACTGTCGAGAAACTCAGATCTATGCTACGTGAATTACTAGTACCCTTCTTTTATCAGATGATATCACAGGGAGGTGTCAGTGCGATGGGATGCAAGCTCGATGATGAAAGGATAAAGAAGAAAATATCTAACGTAGACAAACATAACGGGTGGGACACTGCATATCCATCGATAGACGATATGTTCCATAACGATGGACGTTCCTTCTTTGGTGATCTTTATCAATACAAGACTAGTGCCTGTTTTATGTCTCCTAGTAACGCAGAAAGATGTTAGCTTCATAAAATCCATCATCGCACTCCTCATCACACCGTCGAATTTCGAGCAAGTGTATAGACCTTCCCCGAGGGAAAAACAGCATCTGAAGAGGAGGTGTGATTCATTCGAGCACGAACGACACCATAGCAGGAGCGGTTGATTGCAACCGGGTCGTTCATCTATAGATAATATATATAGGTATAGAGAGAGAGAGAGA